TCTCTGCTGGAGGATCTGGGTCTGTCCACGGTGGACCGGTCTCTGCTGGAGTCTGAGCTGAAGGAGGTTCTGGTGAACCTGCATGAGTTCATCTGGTTTCACCAGAATCTGACCCGGTGGCTCCAATGACGAGCTTTAAGAATAACTCTATAGAAACAGACCATCTTCTCTCTGATGGTCTCTTTACTGATGGAGGTCTGATAGAGGATCAGGACTACACTGAGACTGGTTCATATAGAGGATCAGGACTACACTGAGACTGGGATCAGGACTAAGCTGAGACTGGTTCATATAGAGGATCAGGACTAGACTGAGACTGGTTCATATAGAGGATCAGGACTAGACTGAGACTGATTACTAGTCACTTTAAATTTGCAGATAAAGAGTTAATTCATTATGATGAACGTTTATGTTGAGATTTGATATTGTACAGCAGTCCTAACTTTGGTGTTTTTCTGAAAATAAAATGAGTTATGATGAAGGTTGAGGTGACATAGTGGAGATGTTTTATTGTTCCTGAGTAAGTTTCTTCTCTGATAAAAAAATAATTACGATGTTTTTTATTCAAATTGATTCCTATCCCCATTACATGTTCTTCATTTAAAACACAATGTCTTCCATATCCTCCCCATGTTCTCACACTCTAATATGATGAAGGATAACCTAATGAATATGTAAGACTGTTCTGATTCTCAATATAAATAAAAAGCAGCTGCTTTAATGTGATGACCCCAGCTTCCTGGCAGTAAACTGGTTGGTGCCATTGCACAGCTCTCTTTTCCATTTCTGATCCGTTCAGTATGTTTTATAAGCATCTCCCAAACAGCACGATGCTTGTTTCTCACTCAAACTGAGCCCGGCAGGCTTCCGTATCTTTAATTAACAAATGCTTCCCCTTCATCTCGCTTTGGACAAACACACTCTTCATTACATCCTGAATGGATAATGCAATCCGAAGTTAGCTATTCAGGCTGATGATTACCGAATATTAGATTCTCCCGGCAATCCTGCTGACTTACAGATCTGCAGTGTTCATTTCTCTCTAGTTATTATGTAGTAAGCACACGTGATTCAATAAGCAGTTAGATATGTTTGTCTGGAGGCTGATGGATGTCAATGGTGAACTGTAATTTCACAGATCCGAAATAAAGTAACTGTGACGATGTCAGCAGCTGTGGCGGGTACGCGAACGACGCACACTTGTCCCTGTTTATCCTTGTAATGCTGGTGTGACGCACACAAAATGTATGGTCACATTTTTGTTATTAGATTCATATTTGAACGAATTTCTGTGATTTGCCTATCATAATTAAACTTCCTTTAGAAGTGTATTTTTATCTATGCCCAGTAGGTGGCAGTGGAGCGCTGTCGATCTGCCTCGCGACCAGAGATTTGTCGGTGCGTGTTCAGCGTCTTCTCATAGCTTGAGAGGACACTGAAGCGAGAAGCCACAGCGTTTGCCTGTTTCATTTATTTCCTGTTTTTCTCAGGCTAGTAACATGAAAAGTGCACAAAAGACACATGAATTCAGGACCAATGTGTACGTAACATTTGTATCGAGTATTTTGTGTTTTTTATGTAGTTGTTTGATCGCTACTGACTGTTAAGACTGACTGTTGAGTGCTAGCTAAGCTAATAGTAGCCCTGTGTTACATCCCTTGTTTTTATCTGGCTCCTACACAATGAACTTTTTCTGTATGATGAAATGAATCGACTCTTTATGTTCTGTTAGGTCGATTCACACTAAATATGTTAATTAATGTGACTGTAATATGTATATAAGTGTTTTGAATGTTTGTTAGCATTTGTTAGCTGTTCGCTGTACTGGTGACGCACCGCCGCCATTTGGAAGAGTGTCTGTCTCACGTACGCCACAGTGGCTGTGGGCATATTGCCAAAGTGCAGTTAGGAAGGGTTTTAGCCCAAGAGACAACAGATATGTTGTTCAAACATGTAATAATAGTAGTGTAACCTTTGTTATTTTGTTTATTACAACTTAATGTATTTTTCCTGTGTTTTGAAATGAAGAAACATATACAGAAGACTGTTTTCACTTAAAGAAGTGTAAAAATAAAGATAGCTTGAGAGGACACTGAAGCGAGAAGCCACAGCGTTTGCCTGTTTCATTTATTTCCTGTTTTTCTCAGGCACAAAATCTGTGATCAGGCCCATTCATGCTGGGACCTGTAACACTGGCTTTGGCCATAATGTCTATGAAACACTTCAGACACTCGGTCTGTATTTTCACAGCATTGTCAAGAGTTGTATGGAAGCCATGAGAGGAGAGTAATATAAATAGTCTAATCTAAATAGTTTTGTCTCCTGTGTTTATGACTTAGTAACAAGTGAAAGAGGTTGGGCAGGTGAATTGTATTTATTATTTTATTTCTTTGGTCGGGATCTTTTGTCTGTTGTTGTAATACCAATGTTGGCCACAAGAGGCGGACGTGCACCACTAACCCACGTTTTCTAAATAGGACTCTAAAGTTCATGTTTTCTTCCAGGTTTTAGTTTAAACTCGATACATGTACCTTGTGCTCATAGTAAAGGGATACATGTTTGTTTGATACCAAGGTTTTGTGGATATTTCTTCATTATTCATATTAGACGGATTTGTACACCAATGCTGGAGGACATTGGTGTCCTCCAGCATTGTCAGTTGAAGGTACTTAAACGTTTCTGTAGCGTACCGAGGTCTGCCTGAGGCATCTTTCTGCTTTTTCTTTCTGACAAATTAGTTTCATCTCATCTCTTTGCATTTAATGATTATCTGATCAGCTCTCTCTCTCTCTCTCTCTCTCTCTCTCTCTCTCTCTCTCTCTCTCTCAGCGTGGATCGCATTTCAAACTTACACTATTTAAAGCAATCGTGGCTCAACAGCTGCAGATCAGTGGAGCTGAGCCGCCTACTAAGAGTGACACACTGGGGGCCGAGCCACACATCTGTCGCACCGGAGAGTTCGTCACGACAGAAGGCCTGTCAGTCCAGCTGACACATGCTGTCACCGCTTCAAGGGGAAAGAAAATTATAGAGATCAATGAAGGAAGAGGCTCATCCTGAACAGCTACATATCTATTATTGACAGGGCAGGGGGTCATCGTGCCTCATCTGATTCCTGCTCTTGACATTTAAAGTGGTAATCTGTGAGATTTTCTCTTCTTTTGATCCCGGTAACATTTCATTAAGTCGCAACAGATCACCTGCCAATCAAATAGCGTCACTTCAAATTATTCTTTTTTGACGATGGGTTGGTCGGTCAAAAGTTGTTTTGTTAAGATGCCTCCACAATTAGCGGATGGACCGCCATGAAAATAGGTACGTTATTTATGTTCCCAGCAGTATAAATGTTGATACTTTTCATCGACTTCCATCATCAAGTCAAAAGTTCATCCTGTTCATAGTTAGATTTATGACTAAATATCTGCAACATGAATGCCCATTAGCCTCACCTGTACTTTGTAATCAGTGCTAATCAGCAGATATTAACATGCTAAACCTCACGGAGTCTTCAGTCAGAACACATCACCAGACACACAGTGTCCAATTCAATTAATAAGGAAATGAGTTAATGATAATGATTCCTTAATAAAAACCAGCCTGAAAATGAAGGAAATCTGAAACCATTGCATGAGAGTCAATGGAGCAGAGCCAGATGGTTGTCTGACGGTGCTCTGAGACTGCAAATGCTCCGCTCTGATTGGCCAGTCTGTGTTTGAAGGGCCGATTAACATAGTGAAGGACAAAGATCTGCATGAAATAAATCAGATCGCGTCCAATTATTACACTTGTGAATTACCTCCGAGAGCCAGCGCTGTATTGAAGATACTCAACATGGTTGCACTCAACAGAGAGCGTCACAGTTACCTCGGGGTGACATCAGCACATCGTTTTGACCAGCAGCTAGAAATAGTAGTCACGGGACTGAATCCCAGTTCAACCAATGTGTGCATAGTCTTCTAACTACTGTTGATTCATTTCCAATAATAAATCTGCACGGATCAGCAACCTCACAGATGTTACAATACGTCCCGTATGGTGGATGCAAACCTCCGATTGTTCAGCGGCCCGACGACGCAAACTACGACGCTCTGGGTTCCCCTCTAGCGTCAGTCTTTATGACGTGTCCGGGAGCAAGTTAGGGAAGCGTGTCAGTTTCATTCTTGTCACATGCATGTTGTCTTTTCAAAATAAACTTCTATGTTCACAGGAAACATACATATTCTGCTTGTGACATGCTGTGTATTTTCCAATACAATCTCATAGGAAGGCGTGTAAATAGTACGACATTTCCTCGTGTCATTGTCAGGAATTTTAGGCTTTTTGCACGTCATATTCCGCCATGGGGTAAACGTTTTTGCACATGTTATACTAAGTCACTTGTTCAGAGTGTAGCTTATTCATTTGCATTTACAATGCAGTCAGTACAGACTAGTTTGCATACGAATTACACGCAAAAAGTAAAAACGGCTTTCTTATGGCACTCAAAGGGAAAATGCATGTTTAGTTTAGGCTTAGGAGAAGATTGTGATTTGGGTTAAAATTAGTATGTTTGTTACATCATAAGTATGCTTGAGTTCACTTTACTTTTGTTACGTAACTTGCGTACTTACGTACTTAAGTTACGTAACAAAAGTAGTGTAAAGTAAGTCAAAGTCGACTATACACGGAACACGAACAGCGGTCTCCTGGGTGAAAGTCTGTGTTGGTTTTACCCAATTCGCCACCCTGTCCTCCTCCCTAAACGGACCCTCTGGCTCTTTATACTGTGTCAGTCGGTCTGACCATATAATAATGAAGCTGATGGATTTCCATTGGAGTTAGTTGAAAGTCTGGTGCGTCTTATATGGACACTAAAGGGTGCCTCTGCCACCAAGTGTCGGTATTTGAAGAGAGCAGGTTTCTGGACGAACTGCAGTCCTGACTCTGTGTCAGGCAGGTGTGTGTCCTATTCAGGCTTCGGGCTGTGCCTCCATAGAACACATAACAATAAGAATAATTACCTTGAGTTTGTTCCTCCTCAGATCGTCTGCCAGTCGTCAGCGATGAAAGCCTGCAATAAACAGAACAGCAGCTGAATAAAGCGTCAGTGTCGTCCTCTGAAGGAAAGGGGGGCAGGTCCCTGCATGACACAAAACGGTGAGTGGAGGATAATTAGAAGAGAGTGTCCCTGATTGGTGCATTTGTCATCATCAAAGAGAGCTAAGTAGGATACGATGCAGATGGGCAGGCTTTACTCGGAGGAACAAACACTAGACACAATCACAGAGCGAGCACATGAAAATGTTACTCTGCTGTGAGGATGTTCTCACATGTGAACCAGCAGCTTTAAGCATTCTAGCTAAACAGCCCGATGTTGTTCGTTATCAGGAAGATGTCGGTTCATGCTGAGAGAAGTCGAGGTGGTGCGAGTGTTAAGAAAAATCAGCCCGTGACGTACAGACCATCGGTTGGACTCCGAGGCATGCTGGGAAGCTTCGGGACATCCGTTACTTTTCCTAACTAAACAAGCACCATCAGACCGCTCAGCGTGGGACTGCAGCAGCAACGAGCTGCTCCCCAGTATGAATCAATGTAATGGGATCAGCGTGACACGGAGCACAAGGGTGGAAGAAAAAAAAGGCTCAATACACTTTGCTTGTCGTCCTGTTCTGTACATTATTTGGGATTAACGGAGGCTTAAGAGGCTGAAATGTTTCTTTAAAGTATTAGATTTGTCTCGGGGTGGATTTGGCTGTCAGAGATGTTAGTTGTAGGTGTTGTGAAAGCATGAAGTCGCTGATCAGGGTGCTGGTTCTACAGCTGCTCAGGCCGGTGAATTACAAACCCACTGGAGGGGACAGATGAGCTGTAGTGTAGTGGCCTTATGTCCTCGTTTGTTGGCAGTTCAAACATTTAAAAACTACTTTTAGCACTTATGTAAGTGTAACGTTTATGTCACTTGGGTTGTAATCAGTGAGAGCAGATGACCTCTCATTTTAATAATTAAATATAATAAAGCTGTGAAGCTGTCATATGGTTTTGAAAGCAGTCCATAAACACAGAACTTGCAAACTATGGATCGGTGTTCAAAGACTCTTGATGTTGTTTTCATATGTATTTCCCTTATTTTAAGCCCAACCATGACGTTTTTCCAAAAGTTATAAAAATATAACTGCCGCAGTTTCACAGTAGCGACGTTGCGTTCAATGACTTGCAAGGGCGACAGCTTCGGTCCAAGTCTACTTCAGCTGCTGCACTAACAAACAGGAAATACAAAGAGGGCCATAGAGAAAGTTTATGTTGTCAGGTTTGAAAAGGACTACAGCAGTCAAGTGTATTCGCTCCAAACTACTTCATGGAAACACGCCTAATCCAAAAATATTTTTCCGCAACATCTCAAAAGTTCACTTAAAATTAGCCTGACAACTGAGTGGAAACACAGCTAACGACATGTCACACGTGAAAGCAGTGTCAGTATCAGAACAAGTATGAGTTAGCTGGAAACAACTAAATTGTCCTCTGATCACGAAGATTGGCTGCTTGCTGTAACTCGTATTTATTTTGCTCTGTCTCCTACAAAATCACCTTCCAATACCGCTAAACTGCATCACAACACAGGGCACAAACAGCCCCCTCCTGGCTGAAAGCCCTGCATTTTCTCAACCAGACAGACTCTTTTGAAACACATTTGTGTGACATCAAATGTAATCCAACGAAATACGGTTCCCTTAAAAACTTAATTCTTCAGTTTAGTTGTACGGAAACATCATTTTTTAGTAGCCTGGGCTGCTAGAAGCCAATGTGAGTAGAATGTGCATCTGCTAAATGAGATAATCCGAGCCAAAGCTTTAAACCCTTTCATCTTCATTCATCTCCGTCAGACTGTGGATTAACCAGCAGAACGTCTGCTCTGTCATTCACTTTTCAATTGTTCAATTTGGTAAATTCATCATTTCGTCAGTTCATTCACATAAACTGACGGATCACTGCTTCCAGGAGAAGCTAAAGACGTAACAGAGAGTCACGGTGAGTCACTTGTTGATGGTAAACACTCATAGCGAGTGCATGTTTGTCCACTCGAGTTGTCGTCCTGAAGGGTTTAGCCTCGGAAGAAGAACTCCTTAGAGAGGGACGCTGAGAACAGATGAGCCGTCAGTCAACAGCCGTCCGTCAGGCTGTCCATCAGGTAGACTGAGTGGAAGTAAATGCTGAGTTCATTCGTCTTCACTGGACTCAGACGTGAGTTCAACATGCAGGCGACTTGAGCAAAACATAAGATGAATGGAGAGGCACCACCCACACACACACACACACACACACACACACACACACACACACTCCTTTTCTCCAGACCTTTAACTGTAGTACCTGCTGAAGTACTGCTCACATTGTCAGGTGCTCTATTACAATTACTGCCATAGTATTTTGACCTTGATAAAGTCACTTGAGTGAGACTAATCAAGACTGTGAGTTGTTAGTGAGTGTGTGTGTGTGTGTGTGTTGCTTTGCTTCTACTTCAAACCTTAAAGAGGAAGACATTTTTGGAAAGTGAGGACATTTTGAGGACTTCTTCAAAGTGCTGCCTGAGGCAAACCACTTGTTTGGAGTACTGGGTAGAGCTGGGTTAAGGACACCATGTTACTCTTTTGCAGCTGTGTGCACACCTTGACATGTAGAAAGAAATGTTTGAACAAAATGTTTACCATGTCATGTGTGAGTTCAGGTTTTTGATATCTAATATTCGTAACAAAATGATGACATGTAGTTTCCAGCAGTGACTCATGCTGTAATACCAGTAAATAGAGCAAAACCAAAAAAAAAAAAAGCAAAAAAATGTTTTCACCTCCTGCACGACAGTCTCTCATGTCGTTTGAGGACATTCTGTCTGTAAAGTCAAGTTATGTGAGTTTAACAACAGATCCTGTGTTGTGATCCCGAACAAGAAAAATAAACCTGCCATGAGGAGAACTTGTTCCACAGTGTTTAGAACCATAGAACTGGCAACTATTTCTTAGGGGAACACACTTGACTCTTCTTGCCGATTGTATTGTAACCTCTGTGCTGAACAAGTCAAACAACTAAATGCTGAACTGCTATTCTGAAGGAGCCTGCAGCTGAAAGAGAGATAATTTCCCCCAGCAGGAGGGGAAACAGCTGAGGCAGTCAGGCGGCGGCTGAGGTGTGGAGTAGCTCATCCCGGTAAGACGATGCTTTAGATCATAGCCTGTTATCCACAGTCCAAAGGACGCCCTACTGCTCCGTCACACACCACCACTCCAGGTACTGCTGCCACCGAATTCCTTTCAAGAGCAATCCCTCCATCTATAAAAGACTAGACGGCAGGAAAAAAGAAGAAAGATGACAAAGTTTCTTTCTTTTATTTTCTCAAAGTCTTTGGGAAGGACAAGTCAGGGAACTCTGTGGAGCTACGGGTTTATTTATCTGCTCAAATAAGGCGATGAAAAATGAAAAGAAGTGTGATGAGAATATAAAATGAGCTCGTCTCAGTGACAACAAACTAATGAAAGCTGAACTGCAGAAATGACACCAGGTATCAAGAACTAAAGGAAAACAAATCAAAGCGTAGTGAATATTTAGAACAGCCGAACAGGCGTAGCAGAGCTTGAGGTAAATCCGTAAAGGACACATTCAAAGCAGCACCTGTGCAATATGATGCAATACAACACCTTAAAGGGGCAAAATCCAAGATCTGGAGCATTTTGATTGCCTCTCAAACGGCTCCCGGCATGTCGACAGGGAGCCTGCGGCTCACAGCTAATGGTGCTAACGGTGCTAACGGTGCAAACTACGGGAAAAGCGCTGAGAGAGCTAACCGTTTAGGCTGCTGTGAAAGCTATCAATCGAAACCGGGTGAGGACCAAACGACCAAACCAGGACCGCCTGAAAAGGTGGGTCTCTTCTGCTTTCAAGCGGACTCTGGTGTGTTTCATTTGTAGTTTGAGAAAAAACAAACCAACGGAAAAGATTTTCTGACAGCAGATAAGGGATTTTAGCATCATTTCAGAGGCTAAATACTACAGGTGTGAAAGCAGCTTTAGGGAGAAAGGGAATACATATCTCATTTATTGCAGGGTTGTCGCACTACGTAGCATTATGTTATGCAGAGCTTTGAATTTTTATCTTTTAGGTCTTTTCCATTTAGTTCAGTTATCGATGGGGACATGTGTCCCTCTATGTAGACAGAGCGTCCATAAATCTTAATGCATGAAGCAGATTGTCTCTTTATTGATGGCGATCCTGCCGTAGACTCTAATTATGTAAATCACTGACCTGTTTTCAAACCAAATTCAGCATTAAGCAAATTTGACGAGACCACTTTAGCCCATTATTTATCCCCAGCACGGTGTGAAATGTGAAAATTACAAGCGCTGTTAAGGTTCGATTAAAGTCTATAATTGATTCATGAAACATGTGGTTAACAGCTTTGTAACATGAACTGAAATGTTTATGTTGTGCTTCCAAATGTGTTTTAATTGATTAGCAATATCTAATGCCAATAGCTTGAAAAAAACAGCTGCTCATTCAGCTCGGTTTGCTCAACGAGAAGAACATTCGGGTTTGTTAGGGGCAGGGACAACTTGGTGTCGAGGGTAAAAGTGTTATCTGATGATATGGCGCAAAACCAAAAGAAAACAGACATCACCGTGAAGAAGACATTTACACAAAGGCGCCAACAAAAATGTCTATCTGGAGAAAATGTGGAAAGACGACAAGATTCAGGATTGAAGAAACTGCAAGAAACCGTTAATGACCAAAATATGAGTCGGCTACAAGACAGCGGTTTAATCCACGCCATGTCCTGCCTCCTGCTCGCTAACTAAAGGGAGTGCTTCCAGTAGGTTAGAACGCGTCTGACACGGACAATCTCCTGAAGTGTGCTTCATGTGTGAAAGGGCATCTCTGGAAAAGATCCGGACCTGATATTTTTGGACATTGTCTGCAGTTCATAGAAGAAAGGGGCTTATGTAAACTCAGCAGAAGTGGAGGTTGCCGCCTGGCTAAAGCACACACCGTTGTCCTTTTTCTTAGTTCGACGCTGATCATCCCTGA